ATGACCGACAAAGATCTTGAAATCTAGCTTCAACACATGGAAAAGTCTTTCTTATTTCCTACTCAATCTGTTGCCATTTTATTCATATCAATTCAAAACAATCTATTGACTGGTATTGTCTGGCAATGGAGATGGGGAATTGTAAAGTCTGTCCTCAAGGAGCTTTCCAGAGTGATGGGCTATGGAAGTATGACACCTGAATTTCCCAAAAGACGGATAAGAGCCATGCATGCCAGACATTTTTTCACTGAGACTCAGTAAGTACCATCACTGCCCCAAACTCCTCCCATACCACAAGGACTGAAAGCCTGGAAACTACATTTCCCAGGCTCTCTTGTCCATAAAGTTCTTGGTATAATCTTACATTAAGAGGTACTCTTGCAATCACTAGAAAATGGAAGAGAAAAAGACATTTTTCAGTAGCTACAGGAGGGTTTGCATGCATTGGCAGATGGCAGACATGGGGCTATGTGTCAGCTTCTGAGCATCCTTCTGAGAATCACCCACTCCAGTACTGCAGGCAGCTAAGACCACTGGTGGCAATTTGGCTTCCCAGGGATTCCAACACTTCAGATTTCTAGGAAGTTGACCTTCATTCCCCAGCCCTTCCAATGATTCCATAAAACCTCTAATTCTACATATTGCATTCCTTCCTAATGGAATAAAATACTTACAGAATAGTTGTCAGAATGGGATAGATATATTTCAGTAATAAATAACCCCCCAACTCTGAATAATATAATAAGATAAGGTTATTCTTTGTTCAGGACATAGAACAAAGTGGCTTCCATCTTGTACCTAAGATCTCTGTGCAAGAGGAAGACAGTACATAGAGAAAGCACATAAACCCACTTCACTCTGAGAATAAAGGTGACACAGTATTTCGGCTTACATTCCATTACCAAAAAAAAAAATTGATCTCAAGGCCCCAGTTAAATTGTAAGGAAGGGTGAGACTATGGCCTTCCTCTGTGCCCAGAGGGAGGAAATGGTATGATGAACACATTGCATTTTATCAGGTTTACATATTTTTAATTAAATCTGTTGATTATATTTGATAGTAAATGCTGTGTCCTGTAACAAAATTCTAAAATATGTGGCATAGACTTCATAGTCAAGTAGTGCTTGCTAGAAACAGATATAACAGACTGGATGACTGGAGATCCGTATCACGGAGTGGAAAAACACTTGGCAATATTATTGCCTTTGGTAACCTGAAAGTCAGACCACGTGACTCTTGAGCTTGTAGGTGAAAAATAACATGTGTTGGTTGCTATTGGCTGCTTTTGGAAACACAGTAAAACAATAAGAGGCTCTCAGGAAATAATCAACTGGTTTTTGAGCAAAGCTAAAAAGAACGAGCAACTATTTCTAGAGCTCCCTTTTGATATCAACTTCTGTATTAGTCAGGGTATACAATGCTCACTGCCATAACAAACAATCCCCAAAAGTGCAATGGCTTAACATCTAAAAGCTTATTTCTCACTCACAAAAAGTCTAATGTGGCTATTCCTCTGAGAAGGGATTCAGAGATCTAGATTTCTTTCATGTTATGGTACTACATCTTCTGGTATCAGGGCTATCCTGGCATTATCCAGCCAGAAGAGAGAGAGAGAGAGACAGACAGAGAGAGAGAGACAGACAGACAGACAGACAGAGAGAAAGAGAGAGAGAGAGAGAGATTGTCTCTCTGGCCAAGCAATTGCTTCCTAGAAGGAGCTCTACACTGTGGAAGGGAAAGAAGATAAATCACTGGTCAGCTAGCCACCTCTGCACTGGACTCTCAAATTTTCTTTTTGTTTCTTTTTTGCTGCTATGTAGTTTATTTTCCCCATTTTAATAATATTGCTTCCTCCTGTTCTTTCCAACTTCTTTTCCTTTTTTTTTTTGACACGCACTTCCCCTCTTATCTCTTGTTTGATCTTGCTTTCCTCTTTTATTTCACTGCTAATAATAATTAATCATAGCATCCTACTCTCTACTCTGAGTAATTTCTTTTCTTTTATTTGAGACAAAGTCTCACTCTGTCACCCAAGCTGGAGTGCAGTGGTGTGATCTCGGCTCACTGCAACCTCTGCCTCCTGGGTGCAAGCGATTCTCCTGCCTCAACCCCCCAAGTAGCTGGGACTACAGGTATGCACCAACATGCCCAGCTAATTTTTGTATTTTTAGTACAGATGGGGTTTTAGTTTGTTGGTCAGGCTGATCTCAAACTCCTGACCTTGTGATCTGCCTGCCTCAGCCTCTCAAAGTGCTGGAATTACTGGCGTGAGCCACTGCGCCCGGCCTACTCTGAGTAATTTCTAAGCATAAGGTCAAGAGAAAAAGATGGGGCTGTCATCTTTTGAGAGGAAGTGACTTTGGCATTTTTTCCTGTAACTTAAATACCAACTGATTCTGACTGTTAGGAGTGATAGGCATTGGAAGGGAGACGTCAAAATAAATCTATATGGCAAATAAGATATTTGCAAGACTTAATGTTTTTTATGCTTTCTTGATCCATGTTCTTCAGTTTTTCAGGTTTCATGCTGGCTTTGGGGTAAAAGTTTCCAATGTTGGGTTATTTTCTCTTTTTTCCTTTTTTTTTTTTTTTT